TTTATAAATTATAAAAAAAGTTTAGAAGTATTCTTGTACAATATAACATTAAAGTTTATGTTCTGATACATAAAAATAAAGTGTCATATAATATTTAGATTATTATTAATTCCGTAATTTTTACGTATTTTAATGTCAGAACAACAAATGGTCCAGAGAGTTTCCACAGAAATTTTAACGCTGAATTCTATAACTCACATCCACCAATATACTTTGTGCTTGAGGCATTGAAAGAAATGCAGGCTGAAACCAATATAAAAAAAATATATCCAAAGCTATTCCACCTAAAGATATGCAAAAAATTAACCATGHAATAAAACTATACGACCAATTTAAAATAGATGGTAATATATTAAWTTTTTTATCAGGAACTGGTTATCGATACCAACGTTTTAATTTATAGCTTATGTGTATTATTATTGTATTTTATATGCCTAAATATTTTATATTTTTTTTTATTGACTATAATATTATAATAATGATTTTTTTTWAAATTATATTATTATTATTTTTAATTTAATTTAATTTATTAGTATATGTTGGCAACGTTGCACTCATTTTCGTACGCAATCGTAATGTTTTTGAGGCCTAGGTAGAGAAATCGTACGCAATCGTAAAAACGTATGCAATCGTTTTACTAAAAGGGACAATCGTACGCAATCGTATATCACTGCTAGGAATAATAAGAATTTGCAGATTACATTATTACTCACATGAAAATGATTTATACAAATATTTTTTACAAATAAGTATATTACATTCCTAACCTTTCATTCAAAAAATTGAAAAAATTAATATATAAATAGTACCCTGAAATAAAATATGATGTCTCCTATAATGTATAAAATATAAGAACTTCAATTAATGTTCAATATAAATATACAACTTCAATTCAATAATTAACTGTGATTATTTAATACAAAATTTTTTATATATTAGCTGATCCTCGTGCAATTTGTTGTCGTTAAAAACACCAACTCTTTATGATTCAAAATTTGTGTTTAATACCCAGCTAGCCATATTTAAAACTTCCCATGGATTTACCCTATCTTAATCTCCATTAAAGATTTTTAACACAGTCATGTAAAATACAGGACTAAAACTATATTCAATTATAATATTTTCTTGCATTTTTAGCTTTATAAAGGTGAAACAATATTTAAAATTGTTAACTAATAACAAATTAGTAATTTCTTACTCCGACTACTAATCGATTTTTTTTTGGAAGGCATAACTCCCATTTTATTACATTTTACTATCAAAACAAAAAACACAAAATATCAATAAAAACTTAATGCCATAGCATGCCATACAATRGAAATAAATAATAGCAAATTCAGGAATAATAATTTCTTTCACTCTAATTATTATAATTAATATTATTGAAATGAATAGTAACCATCTATAAATAAAAAATTAATTGTAAATCTCAAAATGTCGGTTTGAGCACCTCTTGGGGTTGGGTCTATTACTGTTTAAACTTAGCCTATCTTCTGTCAATAGGTCTAATATATCTCTGAATCAAATTTTGTCACAATCGTTCCAGCCGTTTAGGAATGCATAAAGGACAATCAGACACACAGATAGAAATCCATTTTTATACATAATATAGATGGTAGGAAGATTATTAACGGATCTAATATTATTATATTATTTAAAGCTGATTTGGTTAACTATAATAATGTAATATACATTAAAACCTTCACAGAGGTAAAACCAATTCTAGACCAACTAAAATAACTATAAAAGTAATAAGTAAAAAGAAGAAAAAAATATGAAAACAGTGCAAGAAGTTAGGCCATCGAAAGTGATTCAAACTCGAGACACTTAGTACTTTAGCCCTACTGATGCGCCACTGCGTCATAGAAATTTCGATATGCAGCCATACATTTACGGTTTTTTAAATAGTAAATCCATAAATTCTTTTAGGTTCCGATTTAACCTGTGGATTTACTAAAAATGTTATAGCCTATACTATAACTTTCCTAGATAAATAGACAATSCAACAAAAAATAATTTTTAAATTCAATCCAGTAGTTTTTTCAAACTTTTTTTAGCTCATTAACATTATAATATTAGTATAGATTTTTTAACAGTTAAAAATGTACTATGAGTATAGTGTATTATTAATTATTATTACCCACCTACAATTTATATAATATTGACTCGATCATTCAAAATATTTATTTAAATATATATTATGAATGATAAGTATAATATATATCTATGTATGATTCAATATTAAAATAATTGTCCGCCATCCCCCACTCCAGGGCATGGCAGAAACCTACGGGTGCCCAAATAGAAATTCTGCCAAAAACTCTCACCCACGTGTAAAACCAACCTACAGTTCCATAAGAACCTACAGTATTACCTCCTTCCTAATGGCCTTAGTTGCCKCGGGATAATTAAAAAAAAAAAAATTGCCATGTGGTTATGAGTAATATTGTAGTACAGAGATTTTTTTTCTGGGGTGGTTTGTCGATGCATTTTTTTTCTGATTAGGTACCATAATAACAGTTGTTCTAATTATTTTTTACAAATATATAAGCYAGAGGTGTAAAATGAAAAGAACAAAACTAAAATTTTCACATAGATATAATTCATTACTTTATATTTAATATATGTACAATAACTAATATGATCACTAAAATATAAAAAATAAGGTAATATTCATAAATTTGTTAATACTTAATTTATAAAAAAAAAATGGTTTTCTTAAAAACTACTTGACAATTGAATAAAAATATGTAATAAATGTATTACTTGCAAACAAAACAAATTCAATAACTATGGACAATTGATACAAATGTTGTATTTGCAAATTAAAAACAAAATTATTTATAAAATAATTTACCAATACATGCAGTATACATTTTAAAAATTTAAGCAAATAATCAAGTTGAGCTTTTATAGTAAATTATTATAATATTCACTTTAAAATCACAGTAAACATTTATAGTATTCATGGGAATTAAAGTAATAAAACCCAATAACAGAACCAATTTATTTCAACTAACTTAATACAATTTCTTTTTTGGAACTTGCAACATTAATTGACTATAATTAAAGTAGATCAAAAACAAAACAAAATGCATACAACTATAAACAGATATAATCAAAGGCCATAAATCTGGATATTTTGAGGGGGGTTTTAATACTATGGCACAAAGAGTTAATATAACACATCCAAAYAACGATAAATTACGTAATAAATGTAATTTTAATGTTTCTTTCTGTTGTGAGATTAATTTTTCAATATTATAGTGTACAATAAAATATATCAAAGATAATGAAATAAATGGKACCAACAAATTATCCCTTATCAATAATGGAAGCATGCTAAATGTTGTCAGGGACACAAACCAAGTACACATAAATGCATTTTGAGGAGCATACATTAAAACTGGTATGGCAACCAGAAGTATGCTTTTTTCATGGACTTGAAATGAAAATAGGAAAAAAGACAGCGAACAATTAATTAATGAAAGTAAAAATTTTATTTTAGAAGGATTTTTCAAAAGATCCAGGCATGTGGGCAATACTGTGATAAATGTCATTAATAGGCATATAGTAGCCATAGTTTGATTATTAATATTCCTCAACTTATAAAGTACATTAATTAAACACCATATATTGGAAACTTTGTCTTCAAAAACACCTCGTTCTAAAGGAAAAATTCTGTGAATGACTTGAAACATCTGTTTGGGATCACTAATAAAAGGAGCCCATAATACTAGAAAAGTTATTGTCACACTMAATACAAGAATAATTAATGTATTTAAAGCTGTAATGAATGAATGTTTTTTTAAAGTTTCATATATAAATCCAATATAATAAAAGAAAAATGGCAAGGCATGGTATAACTCCATTTGCTTGTAGTTTAAGGCCATACTGAACAAAATGCAAGTGAAGATGGTTTTATTGATAAACATACTAGCAACACTTGCCACGAATAAACCAAGAGACACACAGTTATATTGGAAATGTCCATGATCTATCAATATTAATCCAGGGTACAACAATGCCATTGCAATGGACATTGTTTGACTAATTTGTTTATTATTCTTAATTTTGAAAAACTGTCTGAAAAACCAACAAACAGCCGGTATGAATATCAACAAGTCAACTATAAGCACAGAATATCTCATGAGTAGCTTGTGAAACTTTGACTCAAAACCTCTAGATGTATTAAGTTGGACGGACTCTGGAAGGATTTTTTTAAGTAGTAAACCATTTAAATAACTATGGTAGGCTGTCAACGGCGGATAATCAAGACCCCAATATAATAAATCATTGTCAGATGAATTAAAATACCATTGAGTGGTTGGCATAGAAACTGTCACTTCCATCCAATGCCGTTGGGCTTCATAATCTCCATACATTGGAGTTTTTGATTTTCCAGAATAATCATGCAAGCTGACAAGCCAACGAAATAATACAGCAATCATTAAGATAAGTTTTTCATCAAGTACTTTTTGCAAGTATATAGGTATTAAGTTTTTGTAAATCATTGTGTCACAATATAAACTCATAAAATCAAAATGAGAAACTTGCTTTCACGAGAAATGATGATTGTTCTGGAAAAAGAAAAATGGAAATTGTAAATTACACGGCCTTTTAATATCTAAATTATTATAATGTATAAAAAAAATTTTATAGTATAAAACTGAATAAGTAATTATGTTTTCATTTTTTATTTTAACTATACTTTAGCTTTTTATCTCTTTTCTCTATATATACTAGCTTAAAACAATTAAATCATTTAATGTATATTGTATGGAGGTAAATCTATTGCTACCAAAAAATAACACAGGGAAGATGTTGTAGCACAAAATTTTATTTAAAAAGATATTCAATGAGAGCAGTCTTCAGAACATTTTTAATGCATAAAATGTTTTTGTATCGTACATTTAAAAAAATCACTTATTATAATTATTAATGAGTAAAATTTTTAAATACAATTTAAAATAAATTATAMATTTTTATCATTATTAGCTTCAAACATTTTTGTAGTACCATTTGAATTCTATTTCTCAAAATGATTATTTAATATTWAATATTATGGTAATTAAGTTGAAAACAAACTTAATTATTTACACTTGTTGTCTTAACTTTCTTCTTTTTAGGTTTGACTGCAATGGCTGATCGTACTTTGAAAACTGCTTCACAAGTTGTGCAAATAGGACTTATTTTACAATAAATAGTTAAACATAATGAACACACAAAACCAATTGCTGTTAAGGTTCCATGACAAAAACAAAAAGGTCGAAAATCTAACTGTGGAGCTAATGGAATAACTAATTTTTTCCTAGAAGAAGGTTCTGTCAAAAATATCCATTGTAAATACAGCAATAATCCTTCTAATTTAGGCATACGAAAATATGAACCTTCTGTGATATAACATGCTTGTTTTAATAGAGTGACGTCATGGGTAAGACTACATACATCAATAGCAACATTTTGTTTTTGAGCTGTGAAAAATGTATTCATACAACGTATGTATTTGTCTCCTTCATTATCACAACCAGATATAATTAATATTCTCGAATTCATTGTTTCACCAGGACTTAGATTACTTTGCAATCTGTTTATATAGCATAATGCCTTGGCACAAGACGCTCCAAAGACGGTATCTCTAGACATATGAGGTTCTTCTGCCGCATCCTTGAGGAATTTCATGATATTAAATTTTATAGAACGATCTATGTGGCTGAACAATTCATATTGACTTCCACCCATTTTACAACTACTGACTGTTTTCTTTTTAAAATCAAGTTCATCTTGATCGGAATATATAAAATCACAACTGTTTGGGTCAGACGCAAGCACTGCGACTTTATTGTGGGTTCGAAGCATTAAATGAGAATTAGCAAAAGCAACAACAGAACTAAGTATGGATGATAGCTTTATTTCTCCACTAAGTAAAGTATCTTGAGCTGGGTTAACATCAAGAATTATAACCAGAAGACTGGAAAATATTTTCTTTGGTGTTTCTGATTGCATTCCGCTTGCATTCACTATCGATCTAAGTTCAAATTTTAATAATTCACTAGATAAATCACATAGATAATATTGTCTTTTAGGTTATTAAAATAACATTTGTAATTTTCATAATAGCATACAAAACTAAACACGAAATAAATTATTCGACCGGAAACTCAAAATTCGAAACAGAAAAATAATAAATATAATATTATTACTTGTTTAGTTTTCACTTTTAGCGTTAGTGGTTAACAATAAACAACTTAAAAAAATGAATTTAAATTACATGAGTTTAAAATATAGTATATAAACACTATTCACTAATAATTTACTAAAATCTAAACGCCGAAATTAGATCTAATATCGCACAACTGCCGCAGCCAATAAGAGTTATAAGTTTATAACTAAGAGTGCCTAACGCCCTAAGACTCTATAAAGTATAAGCAAATGATAAAATGATAAAAGTTATAATGTCTTAGAAAGGTATAACCACAGAACAATTTATATATAACGGACGTGAATAATATCAATTTGATCAGAGTTAAACAGAACCATGGTAGTTGCAAATATTGGATACCATTATTACACTATAGTGATTGTAAATAGTAATAATTGTTGATTGGACATGGGCATGGACAAATGGACAATTACAATAATTACATTAGTTTTTAGTTATTAAAAATTTAAATATTAAATATTATATAATAATTAACATTTAATAATTTAACTAATTAGATACTTCAACAGACAACATTTATACAAAATTTAGTTTAAAAATATGAGAAATGTACGAGATGATTCCAAAAAGTTATTTTAAATGACTTTAAAGTTCAAATCGTGAAAATATGTTCAAAAAATCACACAGTATACTCGCCATTTTTAGTCACAATCTTCTGAACTTGTGTATATATTACAATATATTACACAAATATTAATTCTGAGTATTATTTAGAAAAGCAGGGAGATTAGATTATAAAGTAGACTAGATTTAAACATGTGATAATAAAATGAAGATAAAAGAGCATTATCTAAAGACACGTTTATATTTTCGGATTTTAGATTCAGACATTCTACAAAACTACAACTATATATAATTCAAATGTAGTTTCACTTTTATTAAGTATATCGTATTCTATTTTTAAAAAGATTAATGATTTAAAATAATCACTATTCTTTACATTCTATTTAACCTATGATTTTGTACTTATATTATCATTTTTAACTGTTGATAATAAAATACTTTAGTTAGAAATTATACTACATAGAAAGGCAATGAAAAACATGTTTATCTTATATATTTATTATCTAGATACAAAAACCACCAATTTCACTGGCCCATTCCTGAAGTGGATTGATACTTCAATAAAAATATAAAATCCCCAGTTTGAAATAACATATGGATAATGTTAATAAAACTTCAATATTGTATAATGAAACGATTTCTTTTTAAAATATTTGATAAACCACTACATCCTAAACCCAGATATAAAATTATGATMTTTGCACATGGAAAGTTTTCAAATCAATTKTATAAAGTTTCAAATTAAATTTATATATCTTATTGAATTAGATAGTGACAGTTCAGTAAAATTAAGCTGTAAAGTACCTATGAGTAAAAAATTGTTTTTATACTGTAAACAGGATGCAACCAATAAAAAATTTTAGGCTAGTAAATAAAATTGGAAACATAAATGTAACAATTATAAGATCAGTAGAATAATCATAAAAAATGAAGTTATATTTATTAAGAAWATGATATTTAATTCAAATACTACTATGTTTTCCCTAATTACTAATTAGTATGTAATATTTATAATATAATAATTTATTTCTTCTATTAAGCACGCATTGTATAATTTACAACAGGTAAATTAATGATACCTAAAATTTTAAAATGAACTTTTCTGTTTTAGCCGACAAACTTGTTTAGGCAATTTCTTTTGTTTTACRTGTGTGGTTAAAAATGCTTTAAAAGGCCATGAAATCAGAATTTGGCTGTTGAATTTAGTTTTAAAGTTATAGTATTTGCATATACATCTGGAATGATTAGTCGCTCACTCGGACAATTGAAATCAAAAACATAATTGAACTTGTAAAACCTCTTTGGGTGGGGCTTCAAATATCTATAACTTCAAAACTAAATCCAACCGCCAAAATCTGACTTCACCATCTCCTTCAGTTACTTAGAAACATACAATTTTCTAAAAACAATTGTTGAAATAGAAAATTACTCAGAAAAATAATAAATCTTGTCAAGTATCAATATTAATTTAAATATTTTGTAATTACCTATAACCTTTGGTTTATATTAAATAACATCAAATAATCTGATAAGCTATAAATAACTATAATATAACACATAAATGAATATATTCTAAAACCAGTATTATTTTTTAAGCAAATAAGTTATTATAATATTTTAGCCTAGCAATTTTATATTCAATACTTTTAAAACAATTTTAAATATGAAATAATTAAGAAAAATTAATGTAGTAAAGTGTGTGAATTATGAAACTTCGATAAATTAAAATATTGTTTAAATATGATTAACTATAGAGTAAACTGTAGGTACATGGAAATGAATAAAATTAACAGCCTTAACACCTAAGAGTATTATTTATGTTGAACTTACCACGTATGATGCGTCAAGTGCAACTGTTAATTTAGATTTTAATAAATCTTCACTTATGGTCATTACAGTAAGTAATGCAAAATATAATTGAATTAAAAATAGTGTAGCGCAAAATATTGAATGATCAAGGTTAACACAAAATTCGAATCTAAGTTCTCAAGCAGTCGAACTCAACACTCGATGGTACAATAATAATAGCATGAATAATAGTATAAACTGTAATCTGTATAAACGCTATAAACTATAAATTACAATTTGTTTTATTATGTTTGTAAAATAAACAACTCAATTAATAGTCATTAGTCAATGTACAGAACAACAGAACTACAATAAATAATATTAAATTTACAAAATACTGATTAAAGGCAATGCTGCAATGGTGCTGCGGTCTGTATCGGAGATTATATAATCTGTGGTAAATGGTAATAGGTTATTCAGTTCGTTAACAATCTCACTGATGTCACTGATTATGTTGGTGTGAATGCACAGAATGGAATAATAATAATAACATAGACATATTATATTATATATAATATATTTATATGTCTATGAATAATAATAATAATATTATCGTATGTACGATGCGATAAGACATTTATGTTTTTATCATTAATTATTGTTATTTAAAATTCCAATTCTAAATATTAAATTTAAATTGTCTTCGTTATAAGTTATAACTTATTTAGTTCAAAGTTGTGATTACTATGTCCTATATTAATTTAAATATAGAATTTGTGTTTACATAGCATTCATAAATCAATTCAAAATCTATACTTATTTACCTATAAAAAAAATAATATGAAATTTTACTATTCAATAAGGAATTGTTCGAAAATTCTTTTCCATGGAAAATTAATCAAACAAAAATTATTTTTTAGTATTCAAAATCGAATGTCTAAAATTAGTTCAACCGACCATGATAGAACAACGTCAGCAGATTTTTTTGTTGCAAAATTATTAGACAGTTTTAAAGTACCATACAAAAATCAATTTACTTGCTTATTGGTAAGATGCAGTTTTTGTAATAATACATCGTTATACATTAATAAAGTAACAGGTAAATAGTTTTATGACAAATTATATACTGCGACTGACTAATATTTGAACTTATTAAATAATATAATATTTACGTTTTTTAGGATGGTTTATTTGTACACATTGTTTGAGATATGGCGATTGGTCAGTATTTAAGTCACATGTAAATAAAAATAATGAAAAAATTTGTGTACCCACTCCAAAAAATTTTGAAGCTGGTAAAGATTTTAAGAAAAAAGCTGATAATTTAATGCATTTTAAATCGTTAAGAATTAGCAGTAAAAAGAGTATTTTAAAAGCACTTAGTATGGAGGTAATAGTTCTAAACTTTTTTAGCACCTAATGGCTAAAATTAATTTAAACTTTTGTAATAAACATTTGAAATAATAATATTTCAGTATTACATAAAATTAAGTTCTGTAAGAAATTCACAAAATATTGATACATATTATGATATATCTGTTAAAGAGGCCATTTCAGTTTATTAATTTGTTATTTATAAATAAATTTATAACTTCAAATCAACAGTTGATCTACCTATTTTAATTATTACTTTCATTTAAAAAAAATTCTTTGATTTATTTTGATAGAATTGTTACAGAAAAAGTAGGATATTGAAACTCATAATTAATCAATCAACAATGATTTATAAATAAATAGGTATATAAATGTACATTCACAAAATTATACTCATCCTAATTATGAATTTATGATTAATATTTATTGGCACAAATAAATGAAATGACCCTGATCAAATTAATATTTAATTGAATCGCACCATTTATAATGATTGTTATTTATATATTTATTATTATTACCTATTTATTTTATTTGTTAAATTGTATATACATACATAATACATATATATTTAATAATATCTGTGTTAAAGATTTATGTCTACTGGGAATAAAGTATTATGTGGGTTACCTATAATCAATATAAATAAAATTCAAAATACTGTTTTCAAGTGACAATYCACCATATAAAGTGGTATTGGTTTAATATTTTAGAAGTTTAATAATTTATTTTCATTAAATATTTTAGTAGCTATTTAAGCTTTAAAACTTATTTATATAATTAATAATACAATAAATTAGCTCTTTTTTAGTTTATTTTATTATTGCTTGTGTTTAAAGGATTATAATAAACATACTGTTTATTTTACAGGAATTAAAAATACAAGACCTTGATCGTATTCCGGGTTTATACGTTAATTCAGAAAATAGTTCCTTGTACTTGACTATGATGCTTAATAATAAAATAGTTGTTGGATATAAAGAAATTAAATTAGAAAATAGTCTCAATCAAAATACTGTACCTGATGATTGTTGCTGGGGAATTGCTCAAGTTCCACCATTCACTTCAAATCATAGTCAAAGTGCAATTATTGTTGATGATTTTAAACATTTATTAGTATTAGCTGGTCATCAATCATCTCATCATATTATTTGCTTACCTCATGGTACTTATATTTCTTCTATACTATGTAAATTAAAAAATGTCTTAGCAAGTATAATATACTTATGGATAGAGATCAATGTGGTTTAAACATTATTTATTTAAATAGTAGAATTAATTTTAAAATAATTCAATAGTGTTTATTTGATTGTATTTTATGTTATAAATTAATTTACTTGTAT